AAAAAAAAAAAAAAAAGAAATGCGTGTTTAATTAAAAGTGAAAAGCGAGTATAGTCGAGTCTTAGAAACAAAAAACGGAAACTAAATAAACTGAAACAACGGCATGCAACTTCAACATGATTCATGATTATATCTTCAACAACCCATACTAAAGCCGGATTTGGGTGTAAAGAAACCAAGTCGAGCTTGGACAACAGTAAACGAAAGCGAGGCCCTTGTAGCAGCTTAGTGAAAATATCAGCTAGATGAAAAGTGGTGGACACATGATGAAGATGAATGAAGCCTTCCTCGCACGTGCAAACAATGTGACAATCAATGTCAAGATGCTTAATTCTCTCGTGAAATATCGGGATATGAGAGATGTGAATGGCTGTTTGATTATCACAATCAATCTCTCCCAAGTTTTCAGCAGCTCCCCATCTCGTTGCACGTATCCACAAACCTCAGCAATGTCTCCACCAGAAACCTGAGCAATGATCCCCACCTCTAAATTTTCTGGTTGAGTCATTGTGGATGTAGTCATTGATGATTAATAACCTTACAAATGCAAATACATTGAATTTATGACGATGCCAAGCAGGAGAGACTCTGATTTCAATGATAAAATAATTTACATATTTGTCTTCACACACACTATCCTTAATTGAAAGAGCAAATATTTTCAAATAGTTTTGTTAGAAAAATTTATGTGATTCTATACGAATAAGCAATTCACACTGAAACTATCAAGAATAATCATTTTTAGTTACGGTAATTTTTGTCAATATGTCGTCATAAAAAATACTGTCACAATAAGAGGTATTATTATGACGACATTCGAACATATAGCGACAATATTAGGACATTATTAGCGACGGTATTTTTTTCTGACGATATAGCGATAAAAATTATCGTCATTAAAAATGATTATTCTTGTAGTGAGCTCTTGCCTTTTCAAAGATGTATTTATTTATTTTCGAACGTACGTACAAGCCAAAAAAGTTGAATAGAACATTACAAATTCTTGCAGAAAATTAATTTTCTACAAACGCATGATATTTTTATTTTTTATTTTTATATATTTTTATGATTATTGTTGAGAAAATTCAGGAATACAAGGGAACAAGTCCAAAATATTGAAAGTCGCGACTTGTGCGTTGACCATTAGATTTTGGCATTTCCACATTTTCTATTTCCTTCATTTCGCGTGATATTTGTGTGGGTAATTAATTAGGAATTTTTATATTTTGTTGTGTTTTACTTTTAATTTTTTAAATATTTCATTTTTTTTTCATTTTAGAAATCCAAATTGGGATCAAATTAAATCTGGATAATACTATTTGAGTTAGTACAAAATTCTAAATTGATAAAACTCAATCCCAAATAATTAATTAATTGTTAAAATTAATATTCAGTATCTCAAGATATTCACTAGCTATTTTCTATTTTTCTTATCATATAAAGTAATATGAAATTCTTAGAGAAATAATAAATTTGCAAAATTAAATTATAGGTACCAAAACTAAAATATTGCATAGTACAGATTGCGATTTTAGCAAAAAGTACACTACAGGTAAAAAGATCGGAATTACCAATATATAGTACATATTGCATTTTATCCAAATAAATAAATAAACAAAATATACTGTTCCAAATTTATTTTTAATTTAATTTTATGATTATTTTTTTTTCATTTTCAAATTTTTACAAAACACTTGTGTCAATCAATAAGAAATATATAAATTTATTTATATTTAATTTAATTTAAACGCACTATACTGTAATATATTTTATCTTACTTTATTTTAATTATTTTTATTTAATATTATATTATTTATTTTATTATATTTAATTACTATAAGTTAATTTCTTATTAATATAATTTACATTATCTCTTAAATTTTAACTTGATTTAATAATTTTTTTTTTTTTTGGTACAGGGACCTTTCGGTTTTCGGATCCACAGGGAAACCGACTAATCCGGAATCGAGCCGGGTAGGACCACAAGGGTGGCAAAGCTCTCCCTCAAGAGTTTTAACACTGCTGCATTCCCAGGGCTCGAACACGAGACCACTGGTTAAGCTGGAAGAGACACAAGTCATCTCATCCAAGCGCTCTTGGGTACTATAAATTTAACATACAACTTGGATTGGTGTGGCGATTGCAATGCAATCATGCAACGTTGAGGTCCCAAGTTCAAACTCCACTCGAAATTGGGTCATGTGATTCAAATTGCGAACAATAATCAAAGTGGTGTATATATTTGTCAAGTTTAAAAGTGGTGAATATAACTGCAAAAATAAAAAAAATGTCATAATTTTATTAGCAATTAGACTTTTTTTTCCCCCATTAAAAGTTCACAAATTTCTGCTAGAATCAAGGACCATCAGACTAACTCCTCACCCTATAGTACCTCTATAGTCCTCCTCTTCGTCCATAGTATCGAACAACACCCTCCCTTTCGTTTCCGGAAGCCACAACACAAATAACCCGCATACCAATATCGTCACCCCAAAGACCCCGTATGGGAAAAACCCCTTCCCCGCGGGCCCCACATCCACAACCACGGGCCCAAGAAACCCGCCCAATAAAATGGCCTCCCTCACAACCGACACAGCCGAGTTTCTCACGCACGTCGGGAACATCTCCATCACATACACCAGCAACACGTTAAAAGCCATACCCGCCCAAAAGAACGAGAGTAGTTCCATCCCCATCTTCCACCCCTTCAGCGCCACGAACACGCCCGCCAAGTTGCAAACACCGCTTAGGAAACACAACCCACCCATCAACACCTTCCGCCTCATTCTCCCAATCACAAATAGCAGGGCCACATTCGACAAGAGGCCCGACAAGGCATTCAGCCCGACACTTATGTATAAATTGAAGTGCAGACTCCCGAGGCCTAAAGGCATCCCATAGTAGGCCAGCCCAACTGCGAACCCTGCCACGGAGCTCATTATCAATCTCTTCAATGCCCACTTACACACGAGCAAGACTTTAAACGCAACAGAGTGATTCTGTTCTGCAGAATCCTCAGCCCACTGCAAAGAATCCACCATGGTGAGATCAAAATTCTCCTTTCGCAAGAGGCTTTTGAGGGTCCTCGCAAATTCCCTTTTTTTACCCTTGATGAAAAGCCATCTCGGAGACTCGTGAGCCCAAAAGTAGACAAGAATTGAGTAGCAAACACAGGGAGCGGAAGTGCAAATGTACATTAATCTCCAAGAGGACCCCCTTAGCAGATATGCCAAAATCGGGAGGGAGAGAAAGCTGAGGTCATAACACACAAAGCCAAAAATGCCGACTTTCCCCCTCCATTTTTGGCCGACGAGTTCGGTCCCGAGGACAAACGAGCACGAGCCGATCACGGCACGTCCGATACCGCTCATGAATCGGAGCGCGGCGTACATCCACACGTTCATGGAAAGCGCGGTTAGGCACCCAAAAACCGACATGACGAGGCAGGATAGGGCGAGCATGTTCTTTCGACCGAGACTGGAGTCGGCCAGTGTGGAGAGGGCTAGGCCGTCGATCAGGCAGCCAAGGAAGAAGGACGAGGCGGGCAAGCCACGGACAATCGGGCTCGCGCACTGGAGGGACCATTGGGACACGGTGGACGAGTGCGCGGAGGAATCCCATGACCATGAGCCCTCCGGCAACCGACACATGTCGGCGCACGCGGCAGGGGATCGAGATTTGCAGCTCCATTTGGGCTGGGCGTCGGTGAAGATGGTGATAAAATTTTGTTGTGCGTCGAAGAAACATGCCAACGAGATGAGGGCTAATTGGAGGATCTGCTTCCAACTGATGCCCCCGATGACGTCGTCATCGAGAGAGCGAAGGCGGTGCTGTTGATGCTGCGGCGAAAGGGCCATGAATTTGGATGGAGAGAGATTTGGGGAAAATATTACTTGAGGTGGAACTAGTGTTGGGCTCAGATGCGCAATGCGGAAGATGTAAATTAAAATATTAAGGTAAAATGGTAAACAATAATCCCAATCCCAGCAACTCAAGAATGACAAAAAAAAAACTCTTGCAATAACACCGGAATAATTCTTTTCTGATGTGGAAGTTCAGATTAAACTGCAACCACAGAGCATACTAAGAATATCCCAAATAAATAAAATATGCAAGAAATAAGACACCAAGATTTAACGTGGAAAACCCTCCAAATAGAGGAAAAAACCACGGGACAACCTCCGAACAATTCCACTATATTTTCAAGATAATTACAATATCTTTTCACACTCCCTTGCACAAGAAATGTAAAATATAGTGACCCAGTGAGAACCCCACTCTCAAACAAAGAGTAATAGAGTTGATACCCAACCCGGTGTATTTTTCCACACACTCACAGGATTTACTCAAACACTCTATTTTTATCTCACTGAAAAATAACACTCCAGAAAATTTCTTTTCTGCTCTTTTTCTTTCTCGCTTCTTGGTACACTTTATTCAGAAGAATGCCTCCCTATTTATAGGGAGAAAAGATGCTCAAGTTGTTAACCTGCTCAAATTTTTAATTAGGTTGGCACCGCAACACCTCAACAATGGCACATCAACCAAGATTTAAATTTTTTCTTCAAATTTGGTTTTGTTTGTTTGTGTTTGGCAGGATTCCTTCATGTGGCTGGACCCCACAATTCTCCCCCTCCAGCCAAAGGGTAATATACTGCAAATCTCATGTGCATTCTATGCCGATCAACTCGGCACAAAGCTGAAGCTTTCCTCCTGTTACAACTTTCGTCATCATGTCAGCAGGATTTTTGTCAGTGTGAATCTTTTCCAACTTGAACTGTTGTTCTTCCACTACTTGACGTAGCCAATGATATCTGACATCAATGTGCTTCGTGCGAGAGTGGTACATCGCATTCTTACTTAAATCCAATGCGCTCTGACTATCACAATGGATATCGTACCTTTTCTGCTTCATCCCCAATTGTTGAAGAAACCTCTTCAACCAAAGCATTTCTTTGCCTGCTTCTGTCATAGCAATATACTCTGCTTCAGTAGTCGACAAGGCAACAAATTTCTGCAATTTGGATTGCCAAGATACAACTCCCCCTGCAAATGTAAACACAAACCCTGAAGTAGATTTTCTACTATCCAGGTCACCTGCCATATCCGTATCTGTATAACCTTCAAGAACTGGGTTTCCTTTTCCGAAGCTCAAGGACTTATTTGCACTGCCTTTTAGGTACCTCAAGATCCACTTCACAGCTTCCCAATGATTCTTTCCAGGATTGGAAAGATACCTGCTAACAACTCCAACCGCGTGAGCGATATCTGGTCTAGTACAGACCATGGCATACATCAAACTCCCGACCGCTGAGGAGTATGGAACACCTGCCATAGTTTCTTTTTCTTCTTGACTCGTAGGACAACTTTGTTTACTGAGTTTGAAGTGATTGGCCAACGGTGTATTGACCGGCTTAGCTGATTTCATGTTGAATCTCTCCAGAATCCGATTCACATACCGTTCTTGCGATAACCATAACCTCTTGGATTTTCGGTCTCGCATGATCTGCATGCCCAAAATTTGTTTCGCAGGGCCCAGATCCTTCATTTCAAAGGACTTTGCTAAATCCTTCTTCAGATCACCAATCAACTTCATATCATGTCCCACTATCAACATATCATTTACATATAACAAAAGGATAATGATTTTATCACCTGGAAACTTCTTAACGAACACACAATGATCTGCATCAGTCTTGGTATATCCATGACTCGCCATGAATGAGTCAAATTTCTTATACCACTGTCTTGGAGCTTGTTTCAGACCATATAAGCTCTTCTTCAATCTGCAAACCATGTGCTCCTTTCCAGTCTTCTCAAATCCTTCT